TGTGGACGTGACGTCACTCTGTCCGAGGCGGAGTGAGTGTGGAGTAGTTTGAGTAAATCCCTGAGGAGAAAATTGTAGGGTTTGTATGTATGATTAAAAGTAACTGGCTAGAAAACTAACAATATTACCTCTGAGATTAGTTTTACTCAATTCTGGATGCAAATGTGTGAAATATGTCATAAGAGGCAGGAAATATTAAAACGACTAAAAAAAGACCAGGGACATCTGGATCTAGGAAACCATTTAAGTTTACTTTCAGCAGGACAAGTACCCAGTTCGAAGTCAATTTAAATGATCTGATCAATGCTGATGTGGTACACTAGGAAAGAGAAAAAGAAAAAAGAAAAAGAAGAGTTTGCAAAAATATTGCAAGGGAATGCTTAAGTACTTACAGGGTACCGAAAAGTATTGCGCAAGAATACAAAAACATCTCAACCTAAAGCAAAAGTACTGGGAAGAAACATAAAAGTATAAAAGGAACATGGGTACAGTACGTCTCTGTGAAGTTCCTTAGTATTTAGTCAAAACAAGCACAAACCTGAGATAAACAGCTGCTAAAGGAGAGCCGGTGTAAGAAGCACATACTGTATAAAGTTCCCTCCTGATTTTGCCCTGATTGCTGTGCTCTGAGGTAACCCAACCAGTCTGTCGCTGAAACACAAGTCGTTTCTGAAATGATTGATTTGAGAGATACATCACAGGGCAAAAGCTACAAAACAAGATCAAAGCTTCAGCTGAGGAAGAACAAATCCATCTTCTCAAGACTGAGTGTAACAATACCCTACCACATTAGTATCTACAGTTCACAAGCGGTAACTGGCTTGAGAGGTATAGTCTTTCATCCATACATTATGTAAACCAAAAGTTAAGAGCTTGGGATTTCAATCAGAGGGGATCCAACTTCTTATTTTTTGATAATGATCCTAGTGCCTCAAATCAGACTCTCTTCCAGTCACAGCCTGACAAGAGCTATTTTATAAAAATAAAAATAAGTATAAAGCAGGTGAGAGTTCTCACTAATCCAGGGAATCATCAACTACTGGATGTCTTCACCTAGGCCAGTAATAATCCGACAACCAGCAGATATTGTACATTTATATTTGCCAGTGCTTTAGGCTTGGACGATCTAAAAGTGTTGAAAGCCAAACTGAGTGAACTGCTCACAGAAGAACACATACATATTGATCAAGACTGTCTTTTGATCAACTACAAGATACACTTTCTTATATCTTGTTTTATTCTTAGAAATATCAAACAGCACAGTAGACCTTGAAGCGGTTCAAAATGCTCAAAGCCTCTATTGAGTTATTGACATCATCTGATAGTAAAACGGACAGAGGAACAGAAAATGTTACAATGCATGTCAAGCAACAATGACATCTTTAAATAGCATTAATTATATAATTACAAAAGAAAGATCACATACAGTGACAGCAATGCATATCCACAAATCAAACAAATGCTGAAAATATATATGATAATAAATAATCCTAATTATAAGCACAAGTCCAGAAAAAAAAAAGGGAGGGGAGGCGTTCGTATTAACTTCAATTGTTTTCACTTCAGGGCAAAATGTGTTTGGTGATCCGGTCAGAGATCAAGCTATCACAGTTCACTTAGAGGCTGTTGCAAATAGGCCACACTTTAACAAATAAAAAGCTACTCACTAAGGAACAGCATAGGACTTAAATAACAAGCTTTCAGGTCATTTGCAGACATGCTAAGCTGAAAACTATTCTTTAAGCGTTTACTGCAACTGTGAATGTTTCACTGCTCCACTCAGCGTTTAAAGTAAATCAAACAAAGTCATGATGAATTTTTTTAATCCATATGCACCCACTTAACAATTCTCAGCCTTTCAGTTAGAGATTTACCAAAAGTGGACCAGAAACTAGCCTTGTCGCGAAAATGGAAGAGAATTTCTTGGATGACTTCTAGCCACTGAACTTTCATCTTTAGGCGTAACTTTTCAAATGAGACATCTGTAGTTTAAAAGAAAATGTCACTGTATGGCATTTGTTAGATGCACATACAAGGTCTGCTTGTGTGTAATTCATTCACAATGAACTGAAAAAGCCTGGCATTACAACACTGATACATTCCCAATTCAGATGTATTTTCCAGTACAGTGTAAACTGTACAATATAGTTCATATTCAATTTGATTGGACTGAAAAATGCTTAGAGTGCAGAGTTATGACAACAGAAGGATCTAGCGTTTGCTTCTGGTATTTCTAGTGGCAACAGTTCCGAGAGGCAAAGGGAATGCTTCTTTAAAAAAACAGCATACATCAAACATAACTTACACTATAAATAATTCTTTCAAATAATATGACCACAGCATGAATGTCCTACAGAAAAATCTACAGTGATGCCAAAAATCACTTGATCTTTCTGCTGTCAAAACATTGGACGAAAATGGTGCCATTTAGAAAATAAAGTGAAACACATGGTCCTGTTTTGCTGTCTCTTGCCATTTGTATAAGTTACTATTACAATGCCCATTTTCTTTATATTCTAAAGATAATGTTCCATGAGGTGTCACCTCATTGGGTGCTGTGCACATAATAGTTGACTGAAATAATGCCATTGACATGAAATATTAAACAAAACTGTAAAAACCAGGTACAAAAGGTACAATATAATCGAAGGACCACATGAAGAGGTGTGAAAAAGTCTTCAGTCTTCACAGAAAAATATCAACTGAAGTAACTCACTGGACATGAAGCGTCCTAAGTTTATATACATATGATAAGTAAAATTGAAAATAGATTTTCCTCTCTGTACATAGCACTGTATTCTTTCTTCTTCCTCTTCCTTATTTACAAAGAGCTCCTGTGTCGAGGTCTCCCTTGTCATTCAGTTCTGTGTGGATCTAGTCAAGAGAGATAACGTCAGACACGGATCCATAAATGGCAGCTGCTGCAGCTTCCACCGAGGACCGCGACAATCCTGAGATGGAGTGGCTGTCTCTGTCTTTGTCCCCGATCCCGTAGACTGCTGGACGAAACCAAACTACTGGTGCTGCCGCTGTTGCTGCCTCCGTTGGTGGCTGCCAGCGTGCTGCTCCCAGGGGTCCCCGGCTGCTCCCTCAACATCTGAGA